TCTTCTACAACGGGCTGAATGGTCAACGTTTCATATAGTTTTAGTGTGTGGAAATTTTGCAAAATTCTCCATTTTTTTTTTACCTCGAATTTTTGACGTTACATATTCAATAACATTCATTATCCAAAAATTGTGGTAAAAAAATTCTCGAGTTCAACTGGAATTTATGGAAGTAAGGACCAAATTAACCATTTCAAAAAGATGGAGGGCTTCATTAAACTTTTTCCGACAAAGTAAGTGCAAATGGGTTCATAAAGCAAACACCAAAAATAATTGAAAATTAACCCTCTAACAATTTACTTAAACTTTTATTTGATTATTCTTTGACTTTAATAGACAACTTCTGCGGACTCAATCATTGTTAATTATAATACAACCCTTTAATTTACAGGCAAATTGGGAATTAAAAATAAGAAGTAAAAGAATGTGAAATTCGAGTACCAAAAATCGATTATTTGAATAAATTATGGGCAAAAGAAACAAAAATTTCTCTATATAACTTCATACATAACCTTCAATTTTCCTTCTTCTTTCCTTTCCTTCCCCCTCTCCTAGCTTTCATTTTCTTGCCCAAACACAATATTTTCCCTTCACCATTTGTCCCTGCAATTCCTGCATTGCTGTTCTGTCTATATATGCATTAAGAATATCATAATTCTTCCTTAATTTATGCTCATTCCTGAAAAAAAAATCACTTTTTTTGTTGAATTTCATCTGGATTTTCATTCCTGATGGATAGAGTGATTTCTGAAAGCTGGGATTCGCCATCGCAGTTTGGAACCACTTGGAATGGACTGAATTTCACTGCAATGCAATCTTTTCTTGACGCCAACTGGGACAAGACTTGTACAGATCAACTTACACATTTTGAACCAGTTTTAAGCTCCAATTCAAGGTTTTCAAATGATTTTGCCCTCCGGGGGTTGATGAAGTTGGGTATTGGGAATTCCGGCGGGTTTCCAACGACTGCAACCACCGCCACTGCCGCCATGGCGGCGGCTACTAATGCTAATAGTACCAACAATACTTGCTATAGTACGCCCTCAAACTCTACCCCTAAGCTGCATTTCCCGATTCTTGATCAAATTAACGCGCGCCATTTGGGGAATTCACTGCCTCCGACTCCTCCTCTGCCTGCACTTTCCTGTGATCCAGGTTTCGTGGAGAGGGCAGCCAAGTTTTCGTGCTTTGGCAGCCGGAGTTTCAATGGTAGAACAAGTCCATTTGAATCAAATAATGCTATGTGGAATGGGAATTTAACCCGAGTTTCGAGTAGTCCTTCTCTTAAACAAGCTGGATCTCCTGTGGAAAACAAGAATTTGAATCAATCACAGATGGAATTGAGGTCTCTTAATGGGGTGGTTGATAAGAAATGGAGTAAATTATCAGGGGCAGGTGCCAATTCTAATGAGGAATCCTCTGTTTCCGAGCAAATCCCAAGTGGAGAATTAGGTTCAAAAACCCCAAATGAACTCAATTCCAGGAAAAGAAAAGCTGCTTCTAAAGGAAAAGCCAAGGAAGATACATCAACTTCAGCTAATGTATAGATATTTTGTCAATATACTTGAAGTGTGAAATAATAGAAAACGCAGTAATTATAGAACAAGACTTTCATTTCAGGGATTTGAAGATTACAACAATCCAAATACGAAGCGATCAAAGCCTCGAGAAATTAGCAAAAATGAAAAATGATGATGTTAAAACGGAGGAGGAAGCTAAGCGGAATCTAAATGGTGCTGAGGATGAAAGTGAGAAACAAAAGGCTAATCAAAAGCCCCCCGAGCCACCAAAGGATTACATTCATGTCAGAGCAAGAAGGGGTCAAGCCACCGACAGCCACAGTTTAGCAGAAAGAGTATGTATTTTAGACAATTTTTTCAATAATACATTGAATCATATAATGCGATCGCCATATTGTAATGGCAGCTGTCAAGATTAGATGTTCTGGTAGCCGTAGTACCGAAATCATGTCGTTGATCCTAAAATTATTGAGAACAATGCTTAGTTTGTTGTTGATCACTATGTTGTGATGTTCTTCATTATCATTTGATTAGGTTCGACGAGAGAAAATCAGCAAAAGAATGAAGCTTCTCCAGGATATCGTACCAGGCTGCAATAAGGTTTGCAGCATTGCTTGCTAATTTCAAATATTCAATTTGTTGAATTACTATATCAAGTCCATCAGTAATGTTTCCTTGAAAAATTCACGTTTTAGGTGACTGGAAAGGCTCTAATGCTTGATGAAATCATTAACTATGTTCAGTTGCTACAACGCCAAGTTGAGGTTTAAATTAGAATACATTAAAAGCTGGTAGTATACTATGTTTGTTTTATATGTCAACTTTTGTTGGGCTAATGGTGTTTGGGACTAAAATTTCTGCAGTTCCTGTCTATGAAATTAACCTCTCAGTAAATCCAAGACTGGATTTTGAAATGGAAAATCTTCACTCCAAGGATGTGAGTAAATTTTACCTTGGTGAATATATTATTCTTTATGTTTGAGTAGATCTAGTAGTGAACCGAATGGAGTCAGAGAAAAAAAGATTCATTTAGCCAAATCAAAATTTATTTTCGAAGATTTGGAGTTTCTGAAATATGATTTGTTGGATGTCCATTCAGATATTTCAAGAAAAAGGAAACCTGCCCCAACAAATGTACCCTTTGGATTCCTCAGCAACTGCATTCTACAACCATCAACCCCAGCAGAATGTACGACTAAATGATGCCCAAATTTCCAGGGGACCATTGAATCAAATGTTCAATGGACCCTCTAGATGCCCACAACCCAGGAATTCAATTATCTTCGATTGATGGATTTGGTGAAAGTCTTCCTCAGGTAATCTACTGTCCAACAACTCAAAAATCTTGTTCATAATGCTGTTGAGTACTCACATCGAACATACACTAAAATGTATGAAGAAATAATTTTTTTACATAATCTGATATTTGTATCGACCTCGTATTTCCAGTTCCCAGCATTCAGTGGCCATGATTTGCAAAGCATTATTCAGATGGGTTTCGGCAAGGATCCTGTTAAAGAGACTGCATTTCATTCAGATAACTTTCATGGTAAAGACAAGAAAAGAATCAGAAAAATTACAGTGATTAAATATTGTTTTAAAACTTGTCACTTTTAAGTACTTGTTTTATGCAGTTCCAAATCAATCATCCCACATGAAATTGGAGCTGTGATCACCATTTGTTTATGCTCTCTGCTGTATGCCCGAAAGGAGAAAGAGGCTGCTGTAAATACAAAGAGAATTTAGTACAAGATGATCGATAGTTCGAGGAAATTTTCTTTTTTCTGTCTTAGTTTCGTCCTATGCATTTTATTTCGATATTGTAATTGATGAATTCCTGTTTCCAATTTTTTATGAGGTGATTTTACAATTAACCATTGTATAAGCCTAGAAGCAGATGCCTATTCCTGGTGCAAAGTCTTAACAGCACCATATATGTACTCTTATATAATTTAATAAGATATTCTTAGTGGAAATGAGAACTAATCTTTCCATGGCATTCATTATTTTATTTATTTATTTATTTCTTCAGCAGTCGACATCTCACTTATTGTTATTGGTTTGTTTGATGGTTTAAACTAAGCAGGATTAAAGAAGGAAAAGTAATTAAAGTCTTATCTTATGCACAATTCTGTTTATCCTATTACCGATTACATCCCAGGAAAAGTAATTAAAGTCTTATCTTATGCACAATTCTGTTTACCCTATTACCGATTACATCCCACATGTCAAATCTTGATGATGCATTGCAATCTTTCTCAAGATCTTCTTACGGTCGTGTCAATTAAAGTGTTAAATCGCGTTTTCTGGTGGTTGTGACTTGTGATTGTTACTTCTTATGTTGTAACCAGCTGTATAAGTGGGGCTCTTTTCATTCAGAAGTCTTAATACAAGTGATAATTTAGATTAAACTTTTGTTCTAGTCTATCATAATTTCAGGCACATTTTGTGGGCACATGTAATTTTCACGGACTTTGCTATAAAAACTGGGTTGGGACAGGTTTTTTAAACAGGGGAACACGTGTCAAGTTCCTGTTGGACAGTTTTTTTTTTTTAAAAAAAGAAAAAAAAGAAGGAAACAGGTTGTTAGGAATAAATACAGCATAATATAGACTCCAAAATGAGGCTAACCGAATTCAACAGATATATCTAGAACAATGACAGAGTTCAATAGGCTCAAAACCAGAATCAATGGTAATCAAATATATACCATAGCATTTACAGAATATACATAAACCGCAGAGAACTGAAAGCATAAACGAGACAAAGTAAAAAAGGGGGCAAAAACGTTACTTCCCTTCATTCTTTTTCCTCTTGCACTGGTCAAGTTTTAGGCTCAGGAATAGCCTTCCACGCGTTGCAAATCACCTTCCAAAGAGAGTACAAGAACCAGCCAGAACCAACCAACACTTGGCTTGGATCATCAACCGATAGGTCTACCAACAGCAGTCAAGAACAAGCCCTAAAATCTGACCTAAACCCTCGAGAATAAACCAATAACTCAACCATATTTCAGGTCTAAGCAATACACAGGTATTCACCTCAACGACAGGCTAACTAAGGTCGATTTTAGGTTACTCCACTAGAGGAAGAAGAACGTGTTCAACAGAGAAGTGAAAAAGGGAGCAGCTTCTTCAAAGAAATGGGAGAAGTGTTTCAATTGCCAAGACCCAAGTAAAATATCAAAGGCAAGAATTAATCCCAACCGTGGATTAGATCCAAGGGCCACAAATGGTTCTAAACAAGCACACAATCCGGATCATCCTAATGCTACCAATAAG